CTGGGTCTTTTGACAATGTTGTTCACTCACTTCTACCTTCAACATGGGGTGTTTTTTCTCTTTTTTTTCTTTCCCACCACCTTCTCTGGTTCTGCTTCTGCTTCTCTATTCACTTCTTGGGTCTTTAACCCAGAGATCTCGTCCCACGTCCAATGTATCAGTGCTCCTCAAGACCCGTCCTGCTCCTTTTATTCTAGACCAGCGGTCGCCAACCTTTCGGAGCTCACCTGTTGGCGACTGATGTTCTAGACCCATTGTCGGCAAACTCATTAGTCAACAGAGCCAAATATCAACAATACAACGATCGAAATTTCTTTTGAGAGCCAAATTTTTTTAAACCTAAACTTCTAATGCCAATCTTCAAAACAGACTCGCCCAGGCTGTGGTATTTTGTGAAAGAGCCACACTCCAGGGGCCAAAGAGCCGCATGTGGCTCACGAGCTGCAGTTTGCCGACCAAGGTTCTAGACAATTGCCAGGTAAGAGTGCAGACTCCGGTAGCTTCAACAAAACAACACTGCCAGCGCCTCACTCTGTATCTCCCATCAGATCCTGAACTACAGAGCTGTATCTAACGGTCTCCTCTTTCACCACCATGTTCCCCCTCGGAACACTAACTTCCTCTGGTCTCGACTAACATGCCACGAAAGCGAGAAACCTGGTCACCACGACTCTCCTGACTTCCTTCACCTGGTCCAGTCCTCACAACACTTCCTGGCCATCTTACCTCCAGTATTTCTAGCTCCCATTTCTTTTTACCCACACTCCCCTTGCCCTACAAGCGGAACTGCCACAATTATGTCACATTTATTGCTATAAAAACCTAGATGTCTTGGGATTTTGGGTGTCACTCCAGACCTGGGATTGAGGTCTGGCTCCACTGTGGATTATTCATGGGACCTTGGACTTGTCTCCCAGCCTCTTGGGCCTGTCTCATGTCGTCATTAGGTGGCAGAGGAGATTAAAATGAGAGGGCACGCGTGGAATGCTTTGTAAGTAAACGAGGACATGTCACAGGTTAGCAGAGTTCATCAAGGACCCCTCTGGCCCATTGCTGACGTAAAGGGGGAGACAAGAGCCTGAGCATTTGTTGAGTCCCAAGTGTGTGCCATGCCCCGGCGGAACGCTGTTCATCCACCACCTTCCTTGATCCTCAGAGCTCCACGTTGCCCCCTGTCCAAAGAAAGAGGGTTGGATCCCAGACTGTCCCTGGAGGAGGGCTGAAATGGAGCCTGACTACCCAGACCCTCCAGCTCCTTTCCATGCGCTGGTATGTTCCTCCTGGGTCCACGTTGTTCCCAGATCGTCTGTTCTTTGAAATACATTATGCAAATCCAAGCTAGCCCAGTATCCATAGAAACCGAAAGCTCCCATCTTCCTCAGCCTGTTCCCTAGCAAAAGAAACCCACCCGAGTGACACCCACCACCAAGGACAAAGAGCATCCAGAGCAGGCGGGCTTCCTTCCGCCCAAAGGCATCAGGCTGTCAGGGTCATTGAATCTGTCTTGCCTGATCCTCCGATTGCTGCTGGGGAAAGGAATGGGAGGCACAGGTCCGAGTAAGCCGATGCGTTTTATTTTTGAAACCTTGGAGGGAGATGCTACAACCCCCCCACGAACAGTCATCGTTTGGCCCGATCCAAATAGCTCTGCTGCCGCTGAGATCCTGTTCATGGTAGATGTGCGTCAGTATCTGACATCCACAGTCTGGCACATACACGCACATGAGCTATCGCTGGGACAAGACAATACAATTTTATTGTGCACAGCTGATTACTAATTTAAGGAGCGATTTCTCGAGACCTGCTCCTCTTTACTACAGACATTAAGACTCTGTAGGCTTCTTTCTCTCTGGACTCAAAACTGGAGGCAAAGCTCCCGGTACCACACCCAGGCTATTGAATATAGGTCGGCGGCAGTCCCCGCTGCATGTAGGAAACTAGGCTTTTGCTACTGACACAATTCGCAGGGCTTTAGAATTGGAAAAGACCTCAAAAACAATATGCACGAGGCCCAGTTTCCCTGCTTATAGAAGTTTACCTTAAGTCTCACAGCTCTTTAGTAGCAGGGCCAGGTCACACAATACAGTAGTAGACTCACAACTACCACGTATAAACCAGACCTTATTCTAAGTGTTTCACGCATTTGTCCATTTAATCTCATAACCACCGTACGGGGTTGGGTTGTCCCCATGAGTCTTAAGGTATCATGTTATCTCCAGCTTTCCCGTGATGAAGCTAAGGCACTGAGAGGGTAGGTAACTCTCCCAAGGTCACGCAGTAGTTGAGTGAGTGAACCCAGCTTTTCCAACCCCATATCCCAACCTCCTAACCACTAGCCTACTTAGGTCACCAGATATGTTTGTGAGGACTGAGCTTTTTAAATGTATATTGATCTCAAGTTTAATGTTTACCTTTTAATGTCAGGAGCAACTAGATTCCCCTTAGTTTTTTCCCGTTTTAAAACCCTAGGGCCTAGGGTGTACCTGGCTGCCATGGCTTAGAGGTTGAGAATCAACCTATGAACCAGGAGGTCATAGTTCGATTCCCAGTCAGGGCACAGGCCTGGGTTGCAGGCTTGGTCCTCAGGGTGGAGCATGCAGGAGGCAGCCAATCAGTGATTCTCTCTCATCATTGATGTTTCTATCTCTCTCCATTTCCCTTCTCTCTGAAATCAATAAAAATATACTAAACAACAACAATAACCTAAGGTGAAATAATTAAACAAGAACAAAAAGCTCAATCCACCAATTGAATTCACTATATGAAAATATCCATGATGAAATTATTTTAATATCCCTTATTTTTTCCCTTTTGTTGGGTTGCTTACTACTTGAGATACAGATCCAGAGCATCTGCTTTTATATTACAGTGTTTTGGGAGAATCAGATATATTCATAAACAGAGTATTATTGTGCAGAATATATCTGGAAAGATTTCTTAAATGGTAGTATGATTGTCCACAAGGAGGGGCGCTGAGTGGAAAAAAGTGGGAGACTGTTCTAGTACTTTCTGTACTTTTGGAATTTACAGCCATGTAAAGGAATGATCTAATCCAACAGTACACACAAATTAGAGACAAGACCCCACTTGTCTTTTTAAAAAATCTTCACCCAAGGATGTTCTTTTATTGCTTTTAGAGAGGAAGGGAAAGGGAGACAGAAACATGGATGTGTGAGAGAGAAACATCCATCAGTTGCCTCCTGTATATGCCCAGAACAGGGATGGAACCCACAACCTTAGTATGTTCTTTGACTGAGAACCAAACCTGTGATCCTTTGATGCCCAGGACAATGCTCCAACCAACGGAGCCACACTGGCCAGGGCCCACTTGTCTTCTTGTGTGTGTTGAATGTCTGTCTGCATAACCCTGAATCCTGTTTTTCTTGGTTATTACAACATAACCATTTCCCATGTTATTGAAATTTTTCATAAACCTAAGTTTTATATACACATCCTTGTTAAAAATCTCAAGAAATTGGGGCAATCCTAATACAGGTAACTTACACGTCTCCATTTCTTTTGGAGTTCTTGATGAATGTGAATCACATCAACATTCAGAACCTCCTACCCTCTGAAGAATTAGCCAACACGTATCAATAAGTTTATACTATTTAAGATAGCACACATGGCATCTGTGCCAAAAAAACTGCCTGACTTAATCCTCACAACAGCCTGAGGTGAAATCGTAATCCTCATCGTAGATGGGAGCAGAGGTTCAAAAGGTACAGGCAGCTCATGACAGCTGGTATTTGGAACCAGGAAACAGTTTTAGGTTCTGGGCCGTGTTCTCTTACTGGAAATGCTGCCGGTTCTGTGGTATTTTCAGGGACAGCCCCCTGGCCTCGGCTACACATTCCGTAAGCATTGGTTACGCCCGGCAGCGGATCTGGAACTGGCCGGAGATGAAGAGTCTGTGCTTCCTGCACTCGTCCCCCTGGGGCAGCTCTGCCACCCAAGCACCCGTTCAGCAGAACGGACAACGCGCAGTGGCAGCCAGGGAGGTCTCCGAAGGCACCACTTTAAGGACAACTGAAGACCGATTTGTGGGGCACAGGCCCTGCGGGCAGAACTACAAGGCAGCTCCCAGGGAAGCGCATGTGCCTGGGGTTCTGGGAGGCTGGGCAGAGTCTGTGCAGAGAAGGGTGGCAAAGGTGGGTAGGAGCTGCAGGGGAGGGCTCTGAATGTCCCTTTAAGGGTAAATTCCAGGATGGAGACCCTGGTACTGCTACTTCACAAACTATGGGGGTCATGAGAAATTCCCAGTATTCTCCTCAATATATTCTTGAGAGAAATTTCATCCATCACACTCAGTAGGAAGCAAGGAAGACATCCACAGTACACTTAATTCTGACCCAAAACATAACTGGTGGCCGATGAGGAGTGGGGTCAATGAGGGAAACATACGTGATCTCCAATGGCTGCCGCTGTGAAGTGCTCACGTGGGACCGCACGGGGCGGCTAGCTGCATCAGACCTTTACAAGGTGGGGGCTGCCCCGCCTTCACAGACGGGGGACAGGAAGTCATGTGACACAGCACGGAAGTGATGCAGCCCCTCTAACGAGGACAGAGGAACCCAGGCCAGGACGTTCCACCTCGGCAGCTGGCTGTATGCAGGAAGCCAGCGGGCCGGAAGGGGGCGTGTGTGTGATGGAAGGCAGGGAAGTGTGGGCCCAAAGGCAGAGCTGGAGAAAGATGGCTGCAAACACTGCCCCGGAGAACTAACTGCACCTGGGCAGGGAGGAGTGGGGGTCCCTCGGACGACAGGTGAGACTGCGTCTTCAGTCAGAATGCAGTGATGAGCAGGAGAGTGGGCCAGAGCGTGGAAGACGAGGATGGGAGAGGGTTCAAGGGAAGATACATGGGTAACTAAAGTGTAGTCTATGCCTACGACAGAATGGCACCCAATAATAAAAAGGAATACAGTTGAATACATGCTACAACATGGATGGACTTTTGCGTACGAGAACACTAAAAAGAAAAAAATGTCCAAACACGAGGGTTTTAGCTCAAATATTTTTATTTTCATAAAAGGGACCTAGGCTATCCAAATTAAGCTGTAAAAACACACACACACACAATGTTTCCAACATGTAAGATGGAAATAAAACCCATTTTTTAAAGTTTACTATCACTAATAAAATTCCAGGTCAAGATAATTACATGGAAATTATATTAGAAGGGCTCGATAAATACTTTGTTGTAGAGTGCGCGCTGGCCTCCCGTGTCTAGTATCAAAGTGCTTTGAGCTTTTCCAAGTCTGAGTCCTCTGCAGGGGCTGCTCACGTGTGTCAGCATCCCCACTCCCAACCTTCACTCAGCGGTATTTCCTACCACGTCCTTCCCGAGGCCCATCCGTCCAAAGTACAGACCACATTTATAACCAATTTATAGTGCTGAGTCATCATGTCTGTATAAAATATCCGCTTCTGTGAGCAGGGGGTGCAGGCAGGAGAAAGGATGTCAATCCTCAGTCAGGAACGTGCTCCCCAAGTGAGAACATTGCTACTATAATTTTTTTTTTTCCTTTTACAAAGAAGCTGTCCCCAGGACCTGGCGATTTGACCATTAGAATTACCTGTAGGCATGCATGAGGAAAAAAAGATGGAGGTGCATATCTGGCAGGCATGGCTGAGGGAGAAGAAATCGGGGTAAAAACACAAAAGGCAGCAGAGCAAGAACGAGCATCTCCCTCCCTTCTCACTCCCCGCGCCCCCCCACCCCGACAGCACCCTCTCTCCTCCCCTCCTCCTACCTCGGCAACAGTGACGGGGTTTCCTCCACAGCGACTACGGAGCCACATCCTCCTCCGGTCCCGCTGCCTCGTTTACAGACGGGGAAACCCAGGACCAGAGAGGGAACAGGCCTAAACCATGGTTCTAAAGTAGTGTTTTTTAAGTGCTCTGGAACCCTCTGTTCAGAGGAAATCGTCCAATAAATATAAAGAATTAAGTCAGAATTGATCTGATGGGCATCCTCACCTTGAGCCTTGAGGAGGCTCTGTGAGGCAGTGTTAAAATACTGGCTTAAGGTGACAAGTAGCCATGATGCCACACACACACACGAGGCCCAATGCATGAAATCCGTGCAAGAGTAGGCCTTCCTCCCCTCGGTTGTGGGCACTGGCTTCCTTCTGGCACCAGGGACCTGGGCTTCCCTTGCAGCCCAAGTTTTGTCTGGCCTAATTAGCATATTACACTTTTATTATTATAGATTCTTGGTACTCTAAAATCTGGAGCTCACTGACTATGGTAACTGCCCCTCCCAGGGCTAGCTAATCTAACCAATCCTAAATCTGTCCGCCCTGTACCTGCCTCATCCGTTCCTTCCTGTGAAAACACCACAGCCTCCCGCCTACAGCCTCCCGCCTACGCACCCCCCTCACTCCCTCCGCCTGCTAGGGAGACCTGGTGCTTCCCTCTGTGCCCCCCACCCCACAGCACGGCCCCTCCTCTTAGGAACTGTAAGTAACAAAAGAGTTTGTTACTCAAGGGCAATTAACTATTCTTGGTCTGTTGGCCTCATCATACCCGAATAATAAAAACTACATTAAAACCTTTTAAAAACAGGTTTCACTCTAGAGGCAACCTTTGTTCCAAGAAATCCTGGAGTTGTTAGAAGGAAGGAAATTCACATCCCGAAGATGCCAGGACTCTGGGGAGAGCCTGGCCAGTAAGCTATCTCTCCTGGATGACGTTCAACTGTGGGTACAGGAAAGACCAAAAATGAAGAGGGGGGGAAGGAGGGGGGGCTGGGGCCTGGAGCCACGGGAAAGGATTAGACAGTGAGTAGCAAGATCCTGGCAAGAAAGCAGGACCTCGAGGTGTCCAGGTGCGTGTGGGCTTGAGAAAGAGGGACAAAGAGAAAGCGGGACCACGGCAGCGCACCTGGGCGGCACCCGGCGGGCTCGCCGCGGGCCTCAGGTGTCCAGCTCCTTCTTGACAGTGATGCGCAGGGGGCAGATGCGCAGGGGCTCGGGCGGCCCGTTGCCCCGCGTGCCGCCCAGGTAGAAGTAGGGCCGCACCTCCCCGAAGCGGGCGTGGAAGGTGTAGAGGTGGCACTGGCGCTCGGCATCGTAGAAGGACAGCTCGCCCTCCTCGCATTCCAGCTCCACGCGCAGGCGGCGTGGGATGGAGGGGACCAGGGGCGACGTGGCCGGGTCGGAGGTCACGCAGTGGTCGCCCTCCACGCCCTGCGTGCGGCACAGGTACCAGAAACCGGAGCGCGTGTCCTGGTAGCAGCTGTGGGAGTAGCCCTCGGGGCCAGTTTCTAGGCACATGCGCACCACGCCCACCCGCCAGCTGGGCAGCCCGCCCAGGTCCACCTCCCAGGCGTGGGAGCCGTGGGAGTAAGAGCGGGAGCCCAGCAGGCAGGGCGCCGAGGAGAAGCGCTCCGGGTTCTCCACCTGCACCCGGTAGCCATGGTTGGTGACGCTGGTGAGGTCCTCGGACACAGCCAGCCAGCCGGCCGCGGTGTTGGGGTCAAAGCTGAAGGGCACTGAGGGCAGAGGGAGAGAGTGGGGGTGAGTCAGGGAACCTCATGTCCTGCCCTTCTGCCATGCCAGCTGATGCCCTAGCCCCCGAGACTGACCAATGGTGTCCCACCTGGCCCCAGTGCAGGGAGGGTGCTGCCCTGGCTGAGGGACAGGGGTATGAGTTAAAACGGGCCCCACCAGAAAAGACAGGTGGGAGTCCTCACCCCCAGGACCTCTGAAGGTGACCTTATTTGTTTCAGATGTAATTAGACTGGAAGATAGTGGGCCCTTAATGCAATGGCTGTTGTCCTTACAAAAAAGAGAAGCAACACAGCGAGGGGAGGTCATGTGACCACAAAGGTGGAGATAAACGTGCTGCAGCCCTGACCCTGGATTGCCTGCAAACGCCAGAGGAGGATTTCCCCCCAACAGGGTGGAAAGGGTGCATGGCCCTGCTGACACCTTGATTTTGGACTTCTCAGCCTCTGGCAGTGTGAGAATACATTCCTGTCATTTTAGGGCATCCAGTTTGCAGGCTGTGATTACGTCAGCCATAGGAAGCAACACGGGCAGAGAGCCTGATGCCTCATTACTCCCGTGCTGCCTTAGAAAAGCCTGGAACATCCCCTGGGTCACTGACACCCTATAAAAGCCAGTCAGCTTGGGTGGCCACAATAAAAGCACCGTAGGCCGGGCGGCTCAAACAGCAGAACTTTATTTATCATAGCTCTAGAGGCTGCAAGTCCGAGATCAGGGTGCTCCCATGGCCAAGTTAGGGCGAGGGCCCTCTTTTTGGTTTACAGATGGCCACTCTCCTGCTGTATCTTCACAAGATGGAACGAGAGAGAGGAAGTCAGCACGCTCGTGTCTCTTCTTACAAGGGCACGGATCCCACCCTAGGGTACCACCCTCATGACTTCATCTGATCCTAACCACCCCCCAAAGGCCCTGCTTCCAAACACCGTCCTGTTGAAGGTTAGGGCTTCAACATGATTTGGGTGGGGGAGAAGGGCTTATAAAAACATTCCGCCATGGCACATGACCTAGTGGTTGTGTGGGCTGGAATCACCTTGAAAGAGGCAATTCCGAGCTGAGGGAGATTTTGTATACACAATCCAGTTCTGAACAGAGGGAAGTCGGTTTCTTTTTCTCAAGAGGTGGCCAAGGGTCAGGACCCGAAGAGGAAGGCGTCCTGCGAAGAGGCGTCTGAGCCGTGGGGCAGGAGCGGAGGAGGAGCAGGGTGCTGGGCCCCGTCCGAATGGGGCTGGAGAAAGTGAGTTTGGCGCGCTCTCTGCCTTGCATGGAGTGCCTCCTGTGCCTGTACCACCTGCCCGCCTGCGCCCCCACTCACCAGTTTCAACAGACATGACCATCTTCTTCCAGACACGGTACTGCAGGGAGTCTAGGTACTTGCAAACGTTGATCAGCATGCCAGGCTGCACAGGCTCTGGCTCCATGGTGCAGAAGAGGCTGGGGAGGGAGAATTGGGTCTGGTGGGCAAGGCCGGGGTCACGCATCGTGGGCCTAACTGGGTCAGCTGGACTTAACGAACAATAAGGACTTCTTCCCTTGCCACAGGCCTACATTCCCCACCACCTCACCCAGGACCAACCCAAACTGGGCTCTGAGGAGAGATGCGCCAGGAGCCCTCTGGGCAACTCATACTGCTTCAAGACTCAGTATTAGGGCTCACCCTGCCCCAGCTGAGATAAATACAGACAGGAGGTACTCAGACATGGCTGCCTTCCTTGTGGGCAGAAATGACACTCCCACATCTGCTCAAAGGATGTCTGGGTCACGAGGGATCCTAAAGGTCCTCCAGTCCAACAGCAGGAAGGTGTCACTGGCCTTGGCGTAAACACCTACAGTGACAGGGAACTCACTACTGCCCAAAGCACTCTCTTCCATGTTTGTACTGCTCCATCTGAGACACCGTTCTTCTTTACTCCTCCCTGTGTTCAACCATCAACATAAACCAGAATGTGACCAGAGTCTCTCGGAGGGAGGGTGTTGACCAAGAAACAAGCTTAAATGTTGGGACGGCCTACTGAGAACTACGAGCCACGTGCAGGATGGCCGTCTCTCTCCCCACCCAGTGGATAACAACACTGCACCAGTGAGATGCCTTGAAAGAGGGCTCTGTATACCTGGCCAGTCACCATCACGCCCTCTGTATTACACCCAGCTGGTTTTATTACAAGCCTGGCCCTGGAGCCACTGGAATTTGCACCCCAGGTATTTCTGCCTGCTCTCTCCCTCCCCTCCATCAACCTTAGCAACTTACCGGCGTTTTCGGCTCTTGTGTTTCTGAAAGAGAGAAAAATCAGACACAAACATAGACACAGAGAAAACATGTAAGTTTTCTGATGAGAGGAGTCATATCCATTTTTCATGGATCAGAAGACTTAATAGTGTTAAGATGGCCATAATCCCCAAACTGACCTGTAGATTCAATGCAATTTCTATCAAAATTTCAGAAACTGATAAGTAGTTCTAAAATTCATATGAAAATTCAAGGGACCCAAAATAGCCAAAACAATCTTGGAAAAGAACAAAGCTGGTGGCTCACACTTCTCTACTAAAAACTTAATAAAAGCAACAGTAAACAAGTTAGTGTGGTACTAACATAAAGACAGACATATGGACCAGTGGACACTGAAAGTCTACAAATAGCCGAAACCGATTTGGCTCAGTGGTAGAGTGTCGGTCTGCGGACTGAAAGGTCCCAGGTTCGATTCCGGTCAGGGGCATGTACGTTGGTTGCGGGCACATCCCCAGTAGGGGGTGTGCAAGAGGCAGCTGGTCGGTGTTTCTCTCTCATTGACGTTTCTAGCTCTCTATTTCTCTCCCTTCCTCTCTGTAAAAAATAAAAAACAAAAAAACAAAAAAAAGAAAGTCTACAAATAAACCGTCACATTTACCTGCAATTGGTTATCTACAGGGTGCCAAAAACATTCACTGGGAAAAAATAGTCTAAACAAATGGGGCTGGGACAATTGGATATCCACATGCAAAATAATGAAGTTGGATTCCCTTACGCAATATTAAAAAATTAACTCAAAATGGGTCAAAGACTTAAATGTAGAGATAAAACTAGAAAAATCATGACCTTGGCTTAGGCTATGGTTTCTTAGATATGACACTAAAAGCACAAAGCCACAGCAAAAGAAAACAGTTAAGAAGCACTTCATCAAAATGAAAAGTCTTTGTCCTTCAAGATGTCATCAAGAAAGGGAAAAGGTTACTCACAAAATGGAAGAAAATATTTATAAATTATAGAGCTGATAAAGGTCTAGTAGCCATAATATATATATAAAAAAAAATCTTACAATTCAACAACAAAAAGACAAACAGCCCAATTTTTAAAATGGCTAAAGGACTTGAATGTACATTTCTCAAAAAAAGATACATACAAATGGCCAACAACTACATGAAAAGATGCTCAATGTCACTTTCCATCAGGGAATTGCAAATCAAAACTGTACGGGAGCCCCAGCTGGCGTAGCTCAGTTGGTTGAACATTGTTCCATGCACCCAAAGGTAGCTGGTTTGATTCCCAGTCAGGACACAGCAGGGGGTATCCAAGAGGCAGCCGATCTGCCCCCTTCCCCTTTACCTCTCTCTCTCTCTCTCCCCCTTTCACCAATGAAGACATATTGGGCTGCCCAGGGCTGCTGGTCTCAGGCTCCCACTGGTTCCTGAACATTTGGTCCCTGTCACTGAGATGATGAGCTCCTCACCATGAGAAAAGAAATATCATCTTCCTTCATCTCCATCTGCAGCCGCTCAATCTCATGGGCTAGAGTCTCTGTGTCTTTCTTGAGCTGCTTCATCTTCTCCTCCACCAGATGCTGCTTCTGCCTCGCCTCCTCGGCCATGACATCCAGGATGGCCTGCTCCTCCCCTCTTAAAAACTCCCGAAGCTTTTCAAACTCCTGCCGGATTCTCCTTTCCAGCCAGGTAGCCTCCACCTGCAGCAGGGAGCCAGAAGGAGGCACAGAGGATCAGACTGTGGTGGGAACCTGTTGTCAGCTAGCCCAGTGACTCAGATTTTTAGCAAAGAAACTAGACTTTCAAAAGAAACCATATGCAGGACCCAAATGGATAAAACATAGATGAAGTTTTCTTAGCACAAATTTACAAGTTTAAATTTGAAGTAAGTCAAATAGCACAATGAAGTTGTTTTTGATTAATTTTTTAAAAGCTGAAATTGCTGCTTATATATGACAACTGTGGTCTTGTAACTTCCTCCATATACAATATTCTGTGTATCTTGTTTAAGCTACACAATAGCAAGAGAAATCCTGAGTCACAGAAAAGAATCGATGCAAATAGAACTATTTAAAAAAATAATTGCCTTCCAATCTTAGGATTTCAAATTTGTTCCATCACAAAAAAGCAGCAGGAAATATTTCTTTAAAAATGGAATCATTGTCCTGGCTGGGTAATTCAGTTGGTTATAGCATCATCCCGATATGCCAAGGTTGCAGGGTCAATCACCAGTCAGGGCACATAAAAGAATCAACCAATAAATGCATTAATAAGTAGAATAAATCGATGTTTCTCTCTCTCTCCCTTTCTTAAATCAATAAACAAACACAAACTGGGATCTATATTATAAAAGGACTATGGCCACAACACTGTAACGCCCAATGACCAGACGGGGAACATGGTGGGTAGCAGCGGCCAGAACAAAGCAGCCCAGTCCCAGGTGCCTGGTGGCGGTGGCTGGAGAGAAGCAGCCTGGATCCTGGGTGGGTGCCTGGCAGCAGCCAGAGCAAAGCAGTCTGGGTCCTGGTTGCCTGATGGCCGGGGTGCGTGTGGGTGGGTGGGGTTGCATACTGGGCTTCTAGTCATTAATAATATGCATACTTAATCATAACCACAAAAAGCTTTAACAAAGTAATATAGGTAAATGCTAAAAAAAAAAAAAAAAAAAAAGGTGAATACATATTTATTAAAATACACAAATTGTATATTTCATGAACACTACCAGAAAAGCACCTCAAAATGTGTGCTCTGGCAATGGAAGATCAGTAATCCACATCTTTGGATTGAAAATTCAATATATGTTTATGGCTCTGACAATCTGATGGCAAAATGATTCACTGAAAAAATGAAAATGACCAAAAACAGTGAAAATGATTCGTTGAAAAGATAAAGTAGGAAAAATATTTTCCCATATATAAATCTAAGGGTAATATGCTAATTAGACCGGACATGTTCCAGATGTCATTCTGGATGTCCTTCCTGATAAAGCCAGCTCAGGTCCTAGGTGCCTGCCGGTGGCAAGAGGGGAGCAGCAGCCCAGGTCTGGGTGCTTGAGGGAAGCTGGTGCCGGCAGCTGGGGGAAAGAAGGCCTACTCTTGCATGAATTTTCATGCATCGGGCCTCTAGTGTGTGTGTGTGTGTGTGTGTGTGTGTGTGTGTGTGTGTGTACACAAATAAAAGAGAAAAATGCTAATTGACCATATCTTCACTATGCCCACAGCCAATCAGTGAGTATGCAAATTAACCCAACAAGATGGAGGTTAATTTGCATATGCAGGCAGGAGCGGTGTGAAGCCTGCTATGAGGGGAAGGCGGGCAGTGAGGGAGCTACTGGAGTGGTGCTCTGGCAGAAACGAGGCTTGCTGGCTCCGGGTGGCCCAGGAGCGGGGATGTGCCGGCTCCTGGGCAGTGGGGGTGGGGAACGGGGACTTGCTGGCTCCCAGGCGGCTGGGAGTGAAGCCAGGGGCCTATTCTTGCACAAATATCGTGCAACGGGCGTCTAGTATGTATATATAAACATATTATTCTTAATATACAAAGTGCTCTTACGTGTCCACAAGGAGAAAAGGTAAATAGTCCAAGAAACACAAAAGGCGATTATACTTGTGATAGGATGTACAAATTTGATAATAGTACAAGAAATGCAAAGGAAGAGAGAGAGCACTATTGAAATATCGAGCTAAAAAGTCTGACAATGTATAGTGGAAGGGAGTGTGAAATCTGGGATGATTCTTATCACACAGGAAGATGAAAAACAGAGCAGGCAGGAAAAGAACAGCCAGAAGACTTAGCTCATTTAAGGAACAGGAAGAAGGCCAATGTTCCTGGAAAAGCACAGGCCAGCCTGAGAGGAGAGGAAGTCGAGGAGCAGGAAGGTGTTGGATGAGGGCCTTGGTGAGGAGTCTGGACTATATGGTGGGTCATGGAAGCCTTGGACAATTATAAAGAGAGGAATGACATGATCGATGCATTTTCGAAAAGAGCAGTCTACTCTGCAGAGAGCAGAAGGAAGTGCCCTAGCTGGTTTGCTCCGTGGTTAGAACATCGGCTCACAGACCGAAGGGTCTTGGGTTCACTCCTAGTCAAGGGCACATACCTCAGATGCAGGCTCGATCCCTGGCCCCGGGTGGGGCACGTGCGGGAGGCAACTAATGGATCGATAATTCTCTCTCTGTCTCTCCCCCTCCCTTCCACTCTCTCTGAAAATCAATGGAAAAACTATACTCAGGTGAGGATTAACAACAACAACAACAACAACATTAAAGAGTGAAGGAAGCATGGGGCTCAGGTAGAAAGGCAAGTGAGAAAAGACGGTGACCCGGATTGGGATGGTGGCAGTGGATACGGAGTGTAGGATGGATGTGATCATGATGCATTCTGGAGACAGAGGGGACAGAACTGTTGATGGAGTAGACATAGGGAGTGAGCGGGAAAAGAGCCCAGGTCATCACTGGCTTGAGTACTCAGGTAGATGGAGAAGTGTGCCACATGCTTCAGTTAGTCTGAAACCACACAGTGCAGGTGGTTTTTAAGCCACTCCTGTGGCTACTGGCATGGTGTGCACAGGTATTTAAAGAGGGCCTGGCAGTACAGCCATGATCAGTGTCTGAGCATGGCTGTGCTAGACCATCAGGGCTGGGGAAGGCTGACTCTGTGTCAACAGCCATGATCCAGGGCCAGCCCACCCCCACCTACCCTCAAGATGGCCTTAGGTCGTGTCTCCCCCCCCCCCCCCCAGTCCCAAGTAGCCAGAGCAATCACTTACCTGATTGTGCTTGGCGATGGCCTCATAAGAGCGCCGCATGGCCCAGAAGGCCTTTGCTTTCTCCCGCAGTGAGTGCTCCATGTTCCTGCACTTGGCCTGATAGGAGGAAGGAGAGAGAAGCAAGGAAGTAGGTTAGGGGTCGAGGCCAGATTGGGAGGACGACACATTTACAATTGGAGTTCCACTTCTACAAGGGTACAGCTCAACCATAATTACTGAACCTACTCCGTTCACACACTGTAGGGAACAGCAGAAAGTATGGCCCTGACCTTGAACCATGTTTACAGCATAAAGGGCCCTCAGATATCCTCTAACTCGACTGTTGCTTTATTCCTGCTACAGGTACAGAGACAGGACTGAGAAAATCAAGGGACCTATTCCCCCTCAAGTTGGTCACAGTACAACAGAGAGGGGATGCAACCTGCTCAGGCCTAGAGCTGGTCCAGGCTCGGCCATGAATCTGGAGCTGAGTGTTTAACTGTAAAGACAATGTGCCACAGCCTCCCTTTGTGACTCTCTTTAAAAAATATATATATATTTTTTATTGATTTTTTTTACAGAGAGGAAGGGAGAAAGCTAGAAACATCGATGAGAGAGAAACATCGACCAGCTGCCTCCTACACACCACTTAGGATGTGCCTGCAGCCAAGGTACATGCCCTTGACTGGAATCGAGCCTGGGACCTTTCAGTCCGCAGACCAATGCTCTATCCACTGAGCCAAACCGGTTTTGGCCCTTCATGACTTTCTAAACTGGACTGGCCTGCAGTCACTAGTCAGCAGGTCCGATTACAGGGTTCATCCAGTTATTCCCACAGGTCCTTATCTAAACCGTCTGGCACTTCCCAACCTTATCCCAATATTCTCATTGTGCTTTGACCATGTGAAATACTTTAATTAGCAGATTCAAATATCTTTTTGTTTAATAGTTTATGTGTTTTAAACTTTAACTACTACTCTAATTTCCTTGGATTCCTTGAGGCACTGGGACTAGTTTTAGGTTGAATTCTCCCCCGTTGTATCCAGAGGCTAGCATTTTCTCTCTCTGACTTCTTCTCTCTACATTCTAAGAAAGCTTTTCAAGTTTTGTTTTGTTTTGAATCCTCACCCGAGGATATGTTTCCACAGATATGTTCGCTGCTGTTCCCAGAGAGAGAGGGAGGGGCGTGGGGAGGGAGAGAAACATCGATATGAGAAACACCGATCGGTTGCCTCCCATACTAGGTTGCCACCCTGACTAGGGACTGAACATGCAACCTTTTGGTGTATACGATCACGTTCCAACCAACTGAGCCGCATGGCCAGGGCTCAAGTTTTTTCTTTGAAAAAAATAAAATAAAAAATAACAATTCTTATCACATTAATTTTTTTAATTTTTTTATTTTACAAACCCTTGTGTCGAGGTTATCACATTAATTGTAAATGACTACCATTTATTGAACATTTACTATTTGCCAGGGGCTATGTTAATTACTTCACAAATTATGCCACTTAATCATCATGTTCCTATTAGGTAAGTGTTATTAGCCCCGTTTTAAAGATGAAGACGAGTGAAGCACGGAAAGGGAAAGTGATTAGGCCAAGGGCGCACAGCTAGTACATGGCAGAGTAAGAATGTGAACCTAGACGGTGGTGGCAGGCAGCCCCTAAGACGGCCCTAAGTGATCCCTCATTCCTGTGAGATGTTTATTGTTTTAAGCTATCAAATTTTGGGGTGATATGTTATATACCAATAGATATCAGAGATTTGTCTTCAAAAGCCTCATCCCCACCTGGACCTGATTTGGATAATGAGATTCTGGATTTTGAGCTGATACTATAAAGAGATCTTAAGAGGGGCCGAGTGTATTCTGTATGTGGGAGGGATATGAAACAGTGGGGGCCAGAGGACAGAATGAAGGAGGCAGCCTATAAAATGGCCCCAATCATCCCTACCTCTGGGTATTCATGCCCTGATAAAAACCCTCCCCTGTGGACTAGAGCTAGTGATTTGCTTCTAACCAATCAAATATGGCAAAAGTGATGGGATGTCACTTCTGAGATGAGAGGACAAAAAGGCTGTGTACCCCTTCTCTCCCTCCCTTCCTTGATCTGGCCTATGGAGCAACCCACGGGGCAAGGAACGGAGGTCTCCAATCAATAGACTTGGGGACCTGAAACCTGCCAGCAACCACCCAGCAAGCCTAAGGGGGGTCTTGGCCTACTTGTCTTCCGCTGAGACCGTAGCCTCTGCAGCACCTTGACAGCAGCAGCATGAGACCCTGGGGCAGAGGCATTCAGCTAAGTCATGCTCACATTTCTGATGCACAGAAACCATGAGATAATAGATACATATATTTTTTGTTTTAAGCTGCTATGTTTTGCAGTAATTTGTTACACAGCAACAGATCACTACCTGCCTATTTGTCCTACTCCACAGCCCATTCTTTTAACTGCTATGCTACAGGAAACAAAATAATGACTGATTTCATTTTCTGCAGGTTTTGTTTTCTTTTTTACTCATTTGGGACATTTTTATGTTCTTCTTAGGATATTTAATAGATTTTTAAAGTACCGTTTTTTTTTTTTTTGTAGTATATCGCCACTTAATGTCGTCTGACACACTAAGGTGGTGTGTGTCCTCAATAACAAAATAACACTAGTATGAGTGTCCCACAAGGCCACTGAAATATCATCCCGTTTTATTTTATTATATTGTTACAAAATCATGCAATAAAGTCCAAGAGGGACAATTCTATGATTGTCCAAATAAGTATGAATGATAGAAGTGAAGCAACTGCCCACACACATCACCTAGTGTTGTGCTGGCCCGACCCTCTGGCCTTCAACCTTGACAGTTAGGGAGCTGTAGGACAATGGAGATAGATAAGAGGGGAGGATAGTCCCTTGTCCTTCCCACACTGCTTAATCATCTGGAGATTTCTGGTTTAATGCAGTTCGTGAGGTCAACCAAAAATGTTATTATTATCAGCAAGCAGTTATTATTGAGCCTGTTACATTCCTACAATGCAGGCCCTGTATTTCTATTATGCAGAGAAAATAAGGCCCATGGGATCTAAGTAACGTATCAAAATTACAGACTGTAGCAGACCCAGGAACTGTACTCAGAACTGTCCAATTCTACAGGCCATATTCTTAACCACGACACTACATATCCTGTTTCAGTATTGTTTCCCTCTTTTCAAGCCTTATAACTTATTTATAATTCCTGATTTACTATATTAGCTAGGATCTCCATTACAAAATTGAATAGAATTGGTCAAAATGGGCATTCCCGTCTTTTTTTTTTTGTAAAATCTCAATAAGAAAGCTTTCAATGTTTCACCATTAAATATGGTATTTGTTATATACTTTTTGTTAGATACCCTTAATCAAGATTAAGGAACTTCCTTTCATTCCTTGTTCACTGTTTGTTTTTCTCTCTCTCTCCTTTTAATTCCAAAAGGATATTGAATTTTATCAAGTACATTTTAAAAAATATATTTAATTGATTTTGTACAGAGAGGAAGGGAGAGAGATAGTTAGAAACATCGATGAGAGAGAGTCATCGATCAGCTGCCTCTTGCACACCCCCTACTGGGGATATGCCCGCAACCAAGGTACATGCCCTTGACCGGAATCGAACCTGGGTCCCTTCAGTCCCCAAGCCGATGCTCTATCCATTGAGCCAAACTGGTTTCGGCTATCAAGTATCGTACATTTTTAATCAATTGATATATCGTATTTAAGTAGCACAGAATTGAATTTTGGTTTCCTATTTAGTCTAATAACTTTTGTCAGTAAACTGGAATATTTAACATAATTACTGATATATCTGCATTTTAAACTTACATACTTGTTCTGTGCTATTTGCCATACTTGTTCAATATTTCTTTTTCTGTCTCTTTTTGCCTTTTTGAAAAATGTACTATGCATTTTTATTTCACTCTTTCCCCTTCTCTGCATTTAGTCGTTAACCTAGAAAATACATTAAAAGTCTGAATTCAAATGATTCTAAACCATATACTTTTCATTTTTGTTTTTGATATTCTAGTTTTAACATACTGTATCACAACTGGACCCACCATTCAGAGACCCCATTACCTGCTTGTAGCCCAAGAAATGCCTGAATGAACAGAAACTATAGGGACACTAGTGAGGGCTCTGATGTGAAGCCATCAGGACTAATAGTTATCAATGGCCTGGATAGCTAAGTGGCCCATGACACATCTGGAATGTCATCCAGGCCCCGAACCCCAAAGAACAAATGAGCTCTGATTTTGGCATCAAATTACATTTGATATTATTTAGTTATCAATACACAGAAAATATGAAGTTTTTATTTAAACTACAGGATTCAGAATGTGATTATATAGCCTATACGGATATTTTTAGAAATTACAATTTGATTCCTTATGCAGCAAATTTCAATAGCATATTTAACACCCCAAGGATTTTATAAAATTATCTTACCCCAAATACGTTAATTCAGATGCTATAACAGAAAATGGGAATGGTGAAGGTGCAGGTAAGAGAAAGAATAACTATGATTTCCCAAGATTGTCAGAGGACCCTTGCAGGTCCTTATCCAAGTGCTAGGGCCGTGTCTGAAGCTAGGGCTATCAGGTCCAACTCAAGTTTTCTGTCCTCTGAGGTCCTAGATATGCTTCTGACTTATCCCTACCTGTTTCACTCAACTATCACATTGTAGCCTTGAAAACAACTCAGGCCTCTTCATTTCCTCCAGGAAGCCAGCTTGATCTCCCAGGACAGTTCAGATGTATCTCCGTGGGCTCTCACAGCTCCTCAATACACCTCTATCATCCCACTCACTGCTCTGGATAATCACCTCACTCTCTTGGAAAGACTGCAGGCTTCCTGGGGGCAAGTCCTAACACCATGTCCTCTCAGCCTACCAGAGTGGCGCTCAATAAACGTTTGCAGGGGTGAAGGCTTGCTCTGCAGGGGTAGAGATTGTTTTGCCTACTGCCTATCCCCAGGTGTTAGCACAAAGTAGTTGCTCAACTAACTACTTGCCTAGTCAATCAGTGCACTGAACACCCATGTTCTCTCCACTATGACATATCACCTCCTGGACTGGAAGTTAGAAAAACTGAT